GTGTGTGTGTGTGTGTGTGTGTGTGTGTGTGTGTGTGTGTGTGTGTGTGTGAGGAGGTGTGTCAGGGGTAGAATTGTGTGTGTACATTTGTGTGTGGAGGGAGGGGTGGTGAGGGAGAGAACAGAAATCCCAGCATGAATAATTTTAACAAAAGAAATGGAAAATTGTCAAAATGCAATAAACAAAATCAAAAACATTCTCTCTCTAGGTGTACAGAAAGCCACCTCACCTTTGCATGCTGTCACATTTGTTATCTATTATTGCAGCAACAATATGTTCACATGAATCCTCTCCTAATTAACATATTTGTTTAAAATTAACACCAAGCTGGTTAGACAGGGTTGCTCCACGTAAAGAACACAAGGCCTGGTTAAAAGTAATTTGAATTCTCTGGGAAAATGTGGGATATTGCATAAGATGGAATGCCCTTTGCAACAATGTAAGATTACTTAGGAGGCTGGATATATGAGTTTGACGTCTATCTGCGATAGAACAAATCATCGTCGGGGATTTTGTAGATTTTTGTTGTGTCAGCTCACAACCAGGTGATTGTCTGGGTTTTTGTAGATTTTTCTTTTTATGTCAGTAAGCAAAGGCGTAATATCGAGCACTAGATTTTTGTTTCATCATTAAACAACTACGTGATAACGAGCACTAGTTTTTGTGATATCATTAAACAACTACGTGATAACGAGCACTAGATTTTTGTGATATCATTAAACAACTACGTGATATCGAGCACTAGATTTTTGTGATATCATTAAACAACTACATGATAACGAGCACTAGATTTTTGTGATATCATTAAACAACTACGTGATAACGAGCACTAGATTTTTGTGATATCATTAAACAATTACGTGATAACGAGCACTAGATTTTCGCTATGTTAATAAACAACTAAAGAATATTGATCACTCAAAATTTTTTTTGTCAGTAAACAATCAGGTGATGGTCTGGGGGAACTTGTAGATTTTCGTTATGTCAAGAAACAACCATACGATATCGATCTCCGGCAGGACTGATTTGCCGTTTACAAAGTGGTAAGAACAAACATCCACTCACTGAGGCTGGAAAGTGATGTTGTACACGCGCCCTGGATAATTGGAGAAAGCTGACACGACCTGAAAAAAAGAAATAAACAAACCATAGGACATCAACTCTTTCAGGTCATAGAGGGAACACATTTACGCCTGATCAGCAGAGAAAGGCCATGTGGAGATACAATCATCAGACACGATACAAAAACACGAATCTGAATGTTCCATAGAATGATGCTGTTGCTTACCTCTTTAACGTTTAGCTAAAGAAAACAGAGGTGAAAAATCTGTATGAAGAAAGTCTTTTGGCTTTTTCTAACAGTTATCGAATCAGTGTGTCTTCAAATGTATATATTATATAAAATATTTCAATAAAATCAATAAAAATGGTATAAACCCTAACACTATAATATTTCTGTTCCTAATAGAATTGGGATGTTAAGCATCCATAACTTCAGTTGCACGACACCATTTGCACGCCCTACCGTAACGTTAGTTGACATGACACCATTAACCAGCCCTCCCATAACTTTAGTTGAATGATTCAACTAGCCAGCCCTCCCATAACTTTAGTTGTATGATTCAACTAGCCAGCCCTTCCATAACTTTAGTTGAATGATTCAACTAGCCAGCCCTCCCATAACTTTAGTTGAATGATTCAACTAGCCAGCCCTCCCATAACTTTAGTTGAATGATTCAACTAGCCAGCCCTCCTATAACTTTAGTTGTATGATTCAACTAGCCAGAACTCTCTGCTCTTTTATCCCCGAGGTCTTGAACCAGTACCCACCGGTTAAGAAAACATAACATCACAACTGAAAGAGCTGCGGAGCTGGCCTACCATAGAGAACTGCATCTCCCCTCGACGCTTAACGGAAACAGAGGATGAAAAAGTTTTAAAAAAGTAAAAGTAGACCCACCGCTGCCTCCACACTGCGGTAAGTGGCTGAGTTTCTGGACATGATGGTCGAGTTGTAGGTCATGTTGTGCAGGTACATCTCAAACGTCATGTTCTTGCCGGGGTACACTGGACACACGTCACAGCGACAGAGGTCAGATAAGATGAGATCAAGTAAGGTCAGATAAGATTAGATCAAGTAAGATAAGATAAGATAAGAGTAAATGGAATAGAATAAGATGAAAAAAGTAAGATAAGATAAGATAAGATTAAATGAAATAGAATAAAATGAGATAAGATTAAGTACTAAAGATAAGATTATACGAAATAAGCTAAAATAAGATAAGATTAGAAGAAATAAGATAAGATAAGATAGTATACAATATGATAAGATTAGATAAAATATGATACAGTAAAATAAGACTGAATAATACAGGTGAATTTTTAAAGACAGCTACCTATTGTTCTGGTGACTGGCATAGCAAGCCTACGGCGCAAAATTCTTGCTACAAGAAAAACAAAAGAAAATTAAATACAGAATTAAGGCTATAAAGGAAGAGGTAGGCCACACAAAATATGGATTGAGCCAGTCCGGGGAACCCCGAGAAACTAAACCCTCCCAATTAAAAGAAGTGCATGCTGGCAGAGTTGGCCTACCAAAAATATCTGGAT